ATTTTTAAATGTGTACTACAGTTCTATATATTTTTTCTTTTTGAGCACACACCTCTTAATTGCCCCATGAGAGTTTAAAAGTGGTGGAAGAACTTTTCCTGGAAAATAATTTATGCTGAAAAAGAAATTTATTTTCAAGGCATTCTTACTTCAACGAAAGTGTGAGTGGCCACTTGTCATTTATGCATTTGGTTCATTTCATACACACAGTTATGCGCTATGCATTTTTCTTGTTATTGATTTAGCAGATCATCCCCTCTTTTGCTACAAGGATATAAGGAATTAAGGAGCCATCTACTAAACAGCTGGAAAAAAAAGCAATTTTCTTAATTTTGCTGTTTCAATTTCTTTATTGATAAGTCCTTAATTGCTATCATTATGAAAACAAATGAGTTTGCAAATTTTCAACTCAATTGGTCCAGAATACTCTGGTTTTCTGTAATTTCGTGTGCTGACAAATTCAGGATTTGGAAGATTCCGAATTCCAAAATTTGGTTTGATATGTCCAATAATGAATACACGTCTACTATCTAGCACGCAAAGTTTGTACGAGTGCCAATGTGGCAGCTGCTAGACAAATTGAATGTTTGTTTGTTTTTATTGAACAATGCACCCCTTCCATGCCAAAAAAAAAAAGACTTTCCTAAAAACAAAACAAAACAAAAAAACTTCAAAAAACAATCAATGATATAATGGCAATCTCCTATACACCACTCAGCATATTTTAGGTGCCACTGACATACAGTAGCTATAATGCAACCTAGTTAAATAGATACAGCAGTGTAAAAAAACCTAGACTCACTCAAAGTTGTTTCACGTAGCCAGGCAGTGCAGTAGCTAGCCGGGCAGACACAGCAGTAAGATTAACCTAGTCTAACACTAGAATCAATGATTCTCCCACTCAGGCACAATAGGTGTAGAACACACTGTAGTACTGCTGGTCTGCCTAACTCAGTAACTGCAGTCTAAGTGTCTGGAAAAATCCAACTTGCAAGTATAGATAGTTCTACTGATTCTTCTTTTTTTAACTCTATTGGTCAGTTGTCACTTGAACTGTAAATTAAATAAACATTTAGTAGCTGCCCCCTAACCAAAATAAAGATCCTCAGCACTCAACAATAAATTCAGGTGGTTTATTCAGCCATCAAAGTGAGGACAATGTTTTGACACATTTGTGTCTTCCTCAATGGCTTGAGAAAGACACATACGTGTCGAAACGTTACTCTTTCACTTTGATGACTGAATAAACCACCTGAATTTATTGCTGAGTGCTAAGGGCCTTTGTTTTTAGTTTGCTTATTACTGTTGATCTAAGAAGAGGCACCCATACCTTCTGGCACCAGAACCAAATTTTGGAATTTATTTTGGTCTGTCTCAAACTATTTACTTATTGCTCCAAACCATCAATCGTCTTTTTTTTCCTACCTTTTGGTTGCTCAGGAGATGCCATCCACATGATTGGGTAGACCTCTTGTCAATCATGGCAAACTAAGCAGAGTTTTTGGCACATGGCATTTCGCAAATTGGAATTTTGTCCGATTGGTCCAAATTGCAGTTTGGACCGAAACGGATGTCCAAGTATAGTCAGCAGCTCATGTCATGCTAGATTATTGCCAAAACGTGGAGAATTGAAGGCTTTCACCGCTTGAGCTGTATTATCAGTAGTGTATCATGCAACATTCAACTGCTCAAAGAAACTTGCATTGACTATATGCAACTTGGCAAAAGATGGAATTGCCAAACTGCACTGTCCAAATTATTCACTATAGTGTGAATTGTCAGAAATTCATAGTGAATTCGTAAGCGTTTATTCATTAAACACTCAAATTGTAGCTTATTGAAGTGTGTATTTCAAATTTTAGGTTAATGTGTATAAGTTGTGACTTCAGTGGAGTTGAAGAATTTTTTTAAATCAGTTCTTTTTTGCCAGAATTTTTCTATTCAGTTAGGCAATTTATTAAAATTCAGAGTTTAGTGAAAAAAACCCACAGTAAAATTTTAATTTACTTCCAAATATCCACCACGGAAAAATTATCTAAGTCATCTGTTTTCAGTTAGGTTATTATTTATTTTTTTTGGCTAAAATTTCAAATTCACTTTCATTGTCTAATACTTCATATATTGATGAACTACAATATTTCTAACGCATCCATCCGGATCCAAGTATTGAAACGTGTTGTCATTATTTATTACTATTCACTGTTTACATCTCCTATGTACAGTGGCGTCGCTAGGGGGGGGCCAGAGGGGGCATATCTAAAGTGGAGTTCCATCGTGTGCTGAGATCCTGTCATAGAAGGTAGGTGGGAAGCCGTGTTTTCTCATTCTCCTGGATCAAGGGTTGGCTAGCGTTCACACTGTGGTGGAAATGCCAGCAGTCATTCTGCAACAATCAAGCATGGTTGCCAGTAAAGTTGGACCTCTTTCAGTACCACCACCATGACACCATGGGCTGCCACCAGTTTACCATCAATGAAAGAAAGGCATGCTGGCCAATAGGAACACTCCACAATCTGGGCAATCAGGCAGATGACTTTGTTATCCTGCTGGCTTGACATGGCCCTACATCATGCTGTGCCCCCCCTTGGGCCCCCCCAAATGCCAGCAACCTGCTGGCCATGGGCTTCTCTCGGACTTACAGCCCGAGGGATGCAGGAGAGAGGGGCTGTGGGCTGTCTGTGGCCGGAGGGAGCACTGATTGGCTCCCCGGCACAGGCCCCGCCCCCAAACGAAGCCCCGCCGATAAGCCCCGCCCCCGCCGTAATGCAGCAGCCCATGCTGCTGCTAAAGATGGCTGCCTGACCCCCAGCAGCAGACTCCAGTGACAGGTAGGCTTGGGGGCGGGGGGGGTGCACACACTCTACACACACACACCCATTGCCCCCATACACACCCAGCACTACAGATATATATACATAATATTTTCCCCAACAACCCATTGCCCCACATACACACACATTGCCCCCCATACACACACATTGCCCCC